TACCGATGGTCCATCTGCCGTTACGTGAGAGCGATAGAGTAAGACATAGAAATCCATGCGATAGAGAAGGATGGCTATAATGAAGGCCTCTCATAGTCACCGCCCGTTTCGCCCCTCCACAAATAATATCCACTTCTTATTTGTGGAAGGGCGAAATAGGCGGTGACTATTAGACGCCTTCATTATAGCCATCTTTCTCTATCGCACGGATTTCTATGACTTACTTTATCGCTCTCACGTAACGGCAGATGGACCATCGGTACTTTCCGACCCTGTATAATTGTTACCAAATAGAAGGCACTTTTTTCGCTAATAAACAAATAAAATAATTCCGCGGTTTTTAACTTTTGTAAGAAGTTATATATACCATTCGAAAGCTCGTAAAAAAACCTACAAATTGAAAAAAATAACAAGTTTCTAGGACTAATAGGTCCAGAGTTAGCAATTTATTTTTGTTATAAATATTAAGACCTAAAATTTTAACATTTTGTAGATGAAGGTTTAAACTTTATGCCCTGTTAATTTTAATTGAATTTGCCCATAATTGATCAATCCAGAGCCCGTCAAAGTAAGGGTACGCGGCAGTAGCCCTTCANTTTTTAAAACGAAAATATTCAAATTGATAGCGGCGATATAGCGCTTTGACAGATGACGTTTAAGTTCATTTGCTATACGCTACGCCCTACGTCCAAATTTTCAGAACCAACTTGACCACGTTTTTATTTGAACGCTCGTTAGTTTTTACAAAATTCCATTTATTTATCCCATTTTTGCAAAAAGGCCAATTTTCAAATGACTATTCCGACTATGATCAAAACATTCTTTTTGGGCTCATTTTCTTCGAAGGGACACCAAGTATCATCTAGTTACTACTACAAAACTACAAATTGAAAAAAAATAACAAGTTTCTACGACCAATAGGTCCGGAGTTAGCAATTTATTTTTGTTATAAATATTAAGACCTGAAATTTTAACATTTTGTAAATGAAGGTTTAAACTTTATGCCCTTGTTAATTTTAATTGAATTTGCCCATAATTGATCAATCCAGAGCCCGTCAAAGTAAGGGTACGCGGCAGTAGCCCTTCAGGGAGTAGGGGTGGGGGGATCTTCCTCTCAACCAGGAAAAAACTGACAATGTCTTTGTAATATCTCAGCTTCTATGTAACGTAGAACCTTCTTTTTTTTAATTAGGGGTAGCTCGACGAAAAAATTACTTCTGGATTATTTCTACCCTTGTAAAACCACCCCTACCCCCCTAAAAATGAATTTTTGACATATTTGTTGATAAAAAAACAATGACGCTATACTTTTTTCACGACCCATTTGATGAGACGCCTTTTCTATTATAATTCCCAAGACTTTCCAACAATAAAATCACGCCCAGTAATTAATAAATTTCAAAATGTTTCCTTTCCTGGTCTAAGTTCCGATTAGAAAGTTGAGCGAAAATTTTAAAGCTTGGAATACAACACTACCTTGTAAAAGACCACCTATAAAATTACAGGACAGTCCAAACTCACAAACGTCATAAACCACTCAAATATGTGTCTCTGGCATTCCTATTTGTTTTTTAGTGAGTTCAAGTAAGAATGTGTCAAATAAGATGTGATGATAAAGTGTAACAATTGCAACATTTACCTCTTAAGAATATTGTGCTTACCTAAATATTTACATACGATACATATTTTAAATAATTGCAAATAAAATACGCAGACGATTCTCCATTGAAAATTAACTGATTTTTAAAAAAAAATATCCACGCTCTCCCTGCGAATTTATGGCCAAATATGAAGAGAAAATGTTTGTTTTTTTCCATAAAGAAGGGGGAAAAGAGAGTTTTTTTACATTAAAGACTCACCTTAATGTCTAACAAGACACAACCTTCTTTATTTGTTTGGTGTTTATATGCATAAATATTTTTAAAAACATATAATTTGCAACATTTTTAGTAGGAGGAAGTTGCAATCAATTTCAATATAGTAATATTTCTGGAAAAAACGTCCAGATAACCTGGTCTTTGCGGATTATCCCGAAACGAAGCCATCTAAATAATCCGCAGTACAAATGAAGTCCTTTTTAGCAGACGCCCGACAAGGATAAATTGCATTTAACAAATTTATATCCTGAAAAGGAGCGCTCGACAAAAAAACCAGCGTAACACCAGCGGTACGTATAATAATCATCAAGAGTCGCGTCGCCGTCTCTCTCCCGCTCGCGCACGTGCCTCCGCCGTCTCAGTCGGTAACACAGTGTGTGAGATACCATAATAACACCCCGCAGACAATGATAAGCAGGATCAGATAGGGCGGGTATATATATCATATCACAATGGCATAGCAAAAATGATTACGAGAGACGTTCCTTCCTATATCACGCCGACTCGGTCGGTAATGTGAATCACGCTCTGCCGGTTCTTACACTCGCTTCTTTACCGACTGATTTATATATTCTGCCGCAAATACCTCATAACTCTATAAATCTTTGAAATTCGTGATGCTCCCTTATCTCCCGTAATTTACCCACTTTGATTGGGATTTGGTGTACCATTAAAATTTCTACAGGGCGTTAGATTTATGTTGTGTCGTTAATTTTCAGCCATCGTTATTAACATAAATCGGAACTGTACAAGTACAGCCGTAAATTCATAATTGTCTGAGTCAGAAACCAAAATACAGTGGTTTTAAGGTTATTGTATTGTAATATCGCGGTCTTAGAACCAACAAAAAGAATCGAATGAATATTAGGGCGGGCCTAAGGGATAGAGGATCTGCCCCCACAGAGTCTAGCTCTAGAACAAAAAATATTTCTAGTTAAGGCCATAGCATAACAACCACGCCAAAAAGACTATAAGGGTACTCAAAAAAAGTTAACGGTTTAAATACTCTAGTACGTTGTGATAATAATCATGAAGATGTTGAACCAAATTCGACTTGTAACGAAACTATTTATGTTTATGTAGATTTTTTTACAAAACTTGAGGAAACAACTTATGTTTATGTAGATTTTTTTACAAAACGTACTCGGTTAAATTGTATGTGTACAAGTAATAGTAAATCTAATACTTGATTTTCATTCCAAGCATATCCTAAAGAAACTCTTTTCTTCTTTAGCATTCCATATTGTCTTAGATTTGTCTTTTAATTGTAACGCTACAACACTGTTTTTTACATTCATGATAAACCTGCTATATATCAATTTATTCATTAAAATAATTCATTTTGTTATAAGTTAAACTTGAAAGGTGACAACAATTACAAACAAACAGATATGTGACAGATAGTAGCATGAAAATTGTTTTTCCAACGCCTTCTATAGACAACCAAAAGTGAAAATGTTAATTTAGGATAATCTTTTTAACTTATAGATATTTCAGGAAGAAAATACTACTAAAAAATTATAAACAAATAATCTGGCACCTTATCTGTCCCGTTTTGCATGTAAATATTTGGATAACAAAAAAGTTCAATTTAAGCAATTTAAGTAAATACGAATTATTGAAGGAAGATATCAGTTATTTGCTCACATTATAAAAAATGTGAAAGGAATATATCAGATAAGGAGGTGTTAGTTGCTTAAATATTTACAGAAGTCCGTGAAAGGCCTGTTTCTCTAAATTATTTGCTGTGCTACACAAAGGCTAGGTATTTTAATTTATTTTAGAGCATGGTAGATATCAATAACTGACATAGAAAATTGTGTAAAATTCCGAAAAAATATTCCAAACATCTCCACATTATGTAATTCAAGTCGGAAAAAACGATCTTATTTTCTATGAACAAAAACAGTAGCTACAGTATTTTCATTACCTTGGCTGATTATATTTTTCTTCCATGCCATTCACCCAGTCGCTTGTGGCGTTTTTTTAAAACTCCACCTGTATACACAAAATTATTTGTACCTGTAAATTAAAAGGTGTTACATATACGGGGTGGAACTGAAACATCTGACCAAACTGTAATGGCGGATTCTGCAAAATGAATCAATACGTGGGACGTAGAAGCTACGTCTATGAATGGTCATAGCTACTCAAAGCCTAGGGCCACAGTGTAGTGCACTACAATATCATCAGTTAAAAAAAAAATTATTTCGATTATTTTTACATATAATCAGATGAAGCGATTTGATTCAGGTTTGATATGTAAGTTTAATTTACGGTTATCTAAAAATATAAGTACATGCAATAGATTTTCTGTATACATGGTCGTAGTTGTCGGGATGGACTGGGTCTATTTTATTTTCGTCCGAACTATTTTGATTCTGATCTATTATTATGATTATGACTGAGTATTAAAATATCCACAAAAAAGCATTCTTTCCTGAATATTGATAGAGTCAATGGTTTTTGAGATAAATATCAAAACATCAGACAATTATTGTTAAAAATAAGAATAACAAAGATATAAAAAAATGAAATAATCATATTATCTATGAAAGAAATAAGTTATCATTTAAATGACTTTCCTTAATTGTTTCTTACAACTTGAAATAAGTTACATCTCTCCATTCATTTTGAGTACCTTATATCATGTAAAGGAAGCGTTTGTAAACCTTTGATAATGTTGTTAATTTGTTTCTAGAAACCACCATTAAAGCTTGGTCAAGTATCTTAGTTATATCCTATATGTTTTATATTATCCACTGTTGTCGCAGATGGTATTTTAATAATCAAGGATTAAATTATAATTCAGATTAATTTTCAATATCAAAAGCACCAAAACATCTTATATTAACAGAAAAATTAGAAAGTAACATGGTGTTTTCTACGAGAAACTTTTGTTACAAGTATCTGTTAAGTCCGTAGATACTTTTCCACTAACAATTCTCAAGACAAGCAGGAAAAATGAAAGATTCGATTTAGGTGTGGCAACAAAGCATGTTCTATTCGCCGATATGATCTAAAACATTCAAATAATCCTAGGTTTCCTAGATCGCAGATACGAATATCAAAAAAACCGTAGAATTTCACCTCACGATATCATAATTGCTAATTCCCAGTTACCTTTATTTGAGGTCAGTCCGTTGAGCTTTGGCGCATCCGTGCTGAAGTATCTGTTTTTAAAAATCTTGGTCGGATTGTATCCAACAGTGGAGGTAGACGTAACGTCTAGCATTCTCAACAGCCCGGGTTTAGATCACAAATTTATCCGGCGAAACACTTTTTCCGTTCACATCGAGCTCGCATCCAGGTCACATTTACAAAAATCGGAGAGTCACGGCGACATCGGGTAGAACACTAAGAAATTCTTGCACACATTAAAGAACCCTTTCATTCCCAACACTTGCACGGCTTCAAGCGGTTGCCATCTCATTTTCTACTAATCGGGGAACGCTTCCTTACCTTTATATAAACTCGTTATCAGATTGTTTGCAGCGGCAGATAGCCGCCGATAAGCTAGAATGCGATAAGAGCGGCATTAACAGAATCATACCGGTTTATGGGCCTTTATGGGAAAAATACTGTAACGTATTTTTAGACGCTAGGAACAAATAACGACGAGCTGATAGTGCTCGAAATTTGGCAATTCGAATGGTCATAGGGACGTTCTCATCTCATTTTTCAGTATGTTTCAAGATTTGCTTAAAATCTTTTACCACTACTTTTGGCCGGTGTTGGTGCTGCACACTTAGCAACGTAATAAGAGAGCTGACATAGAATTATCAATGCAAATGTAGTAAATGTTTGAATTCTGAATTTTAAAAAATCGCCAAACTTTCGAATTTTCAACTCTAAAATATAGAGCCATCGTCAGTCCACAGTCTATCGATAAGACGACAGCCAGTGACAGCCAAAATCCATTCAGAAGCCACTTGAGTGAAGTAGCAATAGAGTTGAAATTTTCAATAAACTTTCGAATTCTTAAGCCAAACCACTGAAACGCTAAGCAGGCGCTTACAGCATCAGTCTAAGAAGCCCAACCAACATCTATGAATTCTAAGAGCTCCTAGGGATAAAAATTTCGCCCATGTTTCGTGTGCAACCGGCGAGATCTAATACGGCTAAATCTGCGGAATCACCAAGGCATGCGTTTGAATGTTTACCCAGATAATTTCCAGTTTATTAACCATGACAACAGTTCCTGACCACCGTGGGAGATCCAGCTACAGTCAGTTATAGACATTCTGATTCAAAACTGTGGCGAAAAAGTCTCTTAATCTGGCACAGATCCTCTGACAAACCATTACATTTTAGGATGGCAATGATAGAAGCGATATTGTAGATATAGCAGTTATAGAAATTTTACCTATTTTTGGAGTAGTTTTGAATTTTTAGGCAACGTTTGGTCTTTTGATAAAATTATCAATTCTCTACAAAGGTATTACATATTGTATAGTTAAGTAAATATATTGTTCTCTGTTAGAAGTTGCAATAAACAACATTAATTTTCATATTTACTCCTATAGTGACCAAATGCTTTATTCGATTTCCATTTCTATAAAGCGAGAAAATATTTTACTCTTCCTAAAGATGAAAAACGAATCCTATTTGGAGTTGACCATTTTTTGTCTATACAGGGTGTTAAAAGTTTGACTGCTTTAATTTCAACAGACGATAGAATACATTAAAATAAACAAAAAAACTTTATATGACATGGGTCCTAAACTTAACCATTTCCGAGAAAAAAATGTAACAAAAGCCGGGACGCGTAGTCATTTATTTATTAGTTTTCGGAACGGATGGGTCAAAAAGTAAAATATTTTCGTCAACACAAATTATCGAAAGTTGAGGGCTTTCGAGTAGGTGGCGTCGTCCTTCGGAAAAATTTACCAATATTTTTAACAAGTTCGCTTAGAGTCAGGGCCATGTGACAGACATCTGTTGCGTCTGGGAGGCGCCAGCGTAGAAACCCATATTTTTAATAACGCGCGGAATCACGAGAAGAACGTAGAGGTTCCAAAGTAGAATTAATTCAAATTGTACATTGATAGTAATTCGAAAAGAGAGTAACAGCTGGTTTTTTGGCGGATTTTCCAAGCTATAAGGATATATTAAATGAGATTGACTAATCTGCCCCGTAATTGCTACACGGAGTCACTAGAGGAAGGCTAAGTAAGTTTAGTTCCAGAATTCTTATATAAATGTAAGTCCAGTCAATTAGATAATTATTAACCTAGTATAGTTACACCAAGCGTCCCGATATTCAGGTTCCCGCTAATAAGATAGGAACAGAAACTTCTGGACCCAATAAATGGGCGTGTCAAAGCGAGGTGTCGGATTCAGGGAAGATCTCGAACAGGCAGTTCTTCCTTGGGTTTCACATTGAGCAGTCTAATTAACTTTAGAGTCCCGGGTTAATTAATTACATTTAATAATGGATAAAGTTTTTCCAATTTTTTGCTATGAAGCGCGCATTCCCTGAATCTCGGTAGGCTGTCGCGTGTCAATAAATGAATTAATAATGTTGTTCGAGTCGTTGTGTTGTTATTTTGTTTGTTTGATTTGTTTATTGTTATTAAAACTCTTCCTGGAAGTTTTGGTACTTCCTTTTGTTTCTCTCAACTTCAGTGTCACCCTTTATAGCCAGCCACTGGATTACATTCTACGTAAGCAATAGAGGGTAAGTGCCTGAAATTCATTCTCTGCATATACAACATTTCTAAGTTCCCACGTATTAATTAAAGTATTATGATAATTATAAACTCCCTTTCAAGAATTATATAGTAAACTCTTGTGAAATCCAGACTCGTTATGATACTAACGATCATAACGAATGATAGATAGATAAAGAAATAACCCCTCAGGTTACAAAATTATCAAAATCTCCAACTTGATGTACAAAAGTTCGATTCATTAAGGAACATTGACATAACTGCGTGCATAGAATACCATAAAATACAATGTTTATCACTTTTTTGAACTTCTTTATGCTTAATTCTAAAAATAATTAGCGTTGTAATAAATTTAAAATTCTATAAAATTCATATCGAGCAATGTGACAACGGCGCTGCGGTTAACACGAGGTACTAAGCTGTCCAGCATTACGCAATTCAGTTGGTATCTGGAATTGGACCGTGTCTGAGTGTTTTTTGCATACCAGTATTTCCTTTTCTTGAGGTGTTTTCCAGCGAGTGCGCGAAAATTGGATTCAAAGGTGTCGTGCGTTCATCGAAAATGGTGATGGACATTTTGAGTATATGTTGTAGTTTGTTTTGGACTTGTGCGTTTAAAAATTACTAAATTTTGCATTTCGGAAAGTACCTAAATTATTATTTGGATGACGTGAATCTTTGGGTACTTTAATTACATATTTTTCAAATTCATAATTTGACTAAAAGTCAAGTTCCTGTTTTAAGAGATTCATAATTACTAAAATTCGAGGTAAAATTTAAGCACAACACTATCGTCATACTACAAAATCGATACATTTTATGTTATTTATTCAAAAACTGGAAAACAATTGTCTTGAAATTTACTAAATGTTTCATAATAATAGTTGTTTACATTTTTTCCGTAGGACAAGTCTGCCACGTGCGCACGTGGTATGCACCACCTGTGTAGCATTAGGTTAAGCGCCGTTGTCACGTTGTGATGAAACTCCCCAATATTAATAGTCGCTGTATTTTGAAAACTGTTAATCTTACGCCCCTGTAATATACAACTTTTTTTGTTCATTTATGATTACTCTATTTTATGCTGAAGTAATGGCAGTCAAACTTCTTACACCCTGTATATATTTCTGGATGTGGATTATCCAGAGGACGTCATCGTCAGTCTGAATGTTTCTGCTGAGAGCAATACGTCTCTTAAATTTCACTTCTTACGTCATTTTGCTTTTGTAACCCACCACATTCTATGTACGACCTCATGATATACATATATTCATCACTGGCCGTGACATTTATTGGGCTCAATCAAGTAAACTTGTTTATTACTCCAAATACCGGAGTTCAAAGTGATGTCGCCGCATCTGCTCCAGGATCAGGTATTTGTTAATCTCGGATATTTTCTGAAATTCGAGCACTATCGCCCGGTGAGATTAACAAATTGACGTGACCCACAAATGATTAAAAAACTATTCAAGACAAACATTACGAAACTTACGAGTGCGACGACCCTAGGGGACCCGAAGCGTACAACTTTATCCGGATTTATTGTGGGCTATCTGATGAGATAAATAATGGAATTGTATAATGGTGATATCTCTGTAGTAAATTACTGATTACTATTAGTGATAAGCCAAAGATAAACGACATGGAGGCGTTCAAAACAAAGAGATCTGATAGATACGGGACGAGTAAATAGGTTAATATGAGATATGGAATGTAAAATTGACGACTCACAAAAATCAAATATCGTAGCTTCGGTAAATATGGATGTAATTTAAACTACGTCGTTCAGGGCACGGAAATTGCGTTTTATTAAATTCTGTTTGACATTAACGATATAATTTTTCTTTTTCACTAAGATCTCTTTTGAAAAAAATCTATGATATTTTGACTGTGCTTCTGTTTTATAAAAACAGTCAACTTGTAATATTTGCTAATATCTTAATTTTTGTAGACGTTTAACGTAAATTTAAGCATTGAATACTGTGCCCACATAGTCGAGCACTTGTATTTCTTTGTACTACATTTTCTGTTTTCCAAGCTTTGAATTAATGAATACTCCTAGTCATATATTTCTTTAAATGATGGCAGACGTAATCCCAAAGAGCCTTCGTTTCTAGTATAACTCGCACGTAGTGAAATTGTTACATGTAGAGTTCCCGAATATCTCTGCATTAATGGACATAAAATATCTTTACTGACAAGCCTAACTCCATTAAAATCATCAAATTTTAATCATCATTAAAATCATCAATCAACTAAGTAAAAGCATCATTTCTATGATGGTTCTAATAGAGCCTTTACAATCCTGCTAGCATGAAATATACTGGAAACGATGACCAAAAGGAGATGTAGTATCTGTCTTTTCAAGTTGTTTGTTTTGCGTGTTAAAAAACTGCAACTGTTGGAGAAAACGTCGTATATCACACGCGATAATGAAATCCAATAGTTGTGATTCATTAATTATTATTTCTATATTCCATTAAAAAATCGACTCCAGCTTTGTAAACACTCTGTGTGTAAGTCTGTATATCTTTCTATAGAACCTTAATAAATGTTTGCAAGTCACGTGACCGTCGAGCGCAGGCAACCAACAATTCACGGTTAGTAAGATCAAATGAAAATCCCTAAACCTCAGTGGAGTAGTTGAAGGGGTTACATGTAATTAAATATAATTGTTTTTAAAACTGATCGACATGAACTATCGATATCAAACTTGTTTGTTTCTGTTA